CTCTTTAATGCGGAATTTATAAATGGATCTGTATCTACAGATGGAAAACCACATCTCAGCAAGGTTCCCCTCAAGACGTACAGAAGTGAGGACCCACTTGCACTCTGTATCCATGTATCCACTCTTTCTGCACATCTTCAGCAGGATGGGTAGGAGTCTTATCCCAGACTACTAAGTGCTGCTCTTAGAGAGGACATGGGATTCAAGCTGTTTCCCTAACGCCCTTGGGAAATGATCCAAACACGAAGCAGTTGTACAACCTGTATTCACCCCTACGCTGACTGCTGTATTTCTGAATCAGAATGGCAGTTTGTGTCTTACGCTGAACTCAGCGCTGTCAGTGCGTAAGTAGTAAGGGTTAAGCATGGATGCCTGAGGCTTTGCCATCAGCACACTAATGTTACGACCTGCAAAGGGGCTCAGGCTTGAGGCACTCAGCTCTACCAAGGGAGCGGGTCCCCTGGGCAAGCAGAGAAAGGGAGCCTGCAAGTTTTGCAAAAGATTGTGTGTGAAATAGGTGGGTGAAGATCAGCTTTGCCACAGGTGGCACCTCTTCTGATGTACTCAGAAGAGGAACTTGAGGCATCTAGAAGGCTTTACTGGTAAATCACTGAGGCCTCCACAAATCCATGCAACCATGAATCAAGAATTTTGTAGATCCACCCTCCAAGACCAAGGACACATCTTATATCAGCATCCAGTATTTTTTCTGGTTGCTAATACAGCCTACATGGACATTGTACCTGTACTTGCTATGATGCAGTGTATCGAGGGGGCAGGGGGGCTGGGGGAATCTCCTGTAGTGAGAATTTCGGATAGGCAAGAGCAGGTCAGGTGGTATCTTTTGCCTAACTAAAGGGCAAGTCAGAGTCTGGGCAATTCCCTGTCAGTGTTGTTTGTGCAGGTGTCTAGAGGTTCTGGTATTAGCAATAGGCAATATTTCATCCATAACTTATGCATTATAATGTCCATCTGTTATGAAATACGGATACTAATGGAAAGATAAGAGCTGCTGCTGATGTAACAGCAGAAAAGAACTGAACCTGCTATTTCCCAGAGTATTAGCTCTCCACTACTACTGGAGATAAAAATGCTTTTCATTTTATTCTTGAATGGAGTCTATAGCTATAGGACAAAAAAATAAGGGAAGAAGAAAACAAAGAGATATTAAAAAACCCTAGAAAACTAAACTAGAGAGAGATATTTTACTTTAATCACTGTTAGCTTATATAAACATAATTTAACAAGATTTCTTTTAAAAGGTAAGCCACACCAAGTAAATAGCCATAAATGGCATAAGACATTGCAGACAACTGGAAATTCCATTATTTCACACATTCTTCATGATTCTTCATATATACATATTTCAATAAATCATGTTGCAAAGGTAGTCTCAGTACTTCATCATTGAAAGTATATTATGTAAACTGAGCTAAGGTATTATTTTAGATTAACTAAAAGCATTTTCTAGTTCTAGTTTCTATTAAAGCTTTGGTTGAAGAAGTATTTGCACTGATTATATTAACTCCCATTTGTTGGCTGTTTAAACTATGTAACTACCAACAGGTAATAGAATATTTACTTGCTCTGTCAGAAGTATAAAAATCAGTCTTAATCTTGGAAAGATAACCAAGTGAACAGACAACACTGAAACCATTCTCAAATCTGACTCTTAAGGCAAACTCTGAGCCCTATTGGCAATAATAGGCTTATTTAAGTAAACTGATTTTTAAAATTATTCACACACCACGCAACACAGAGTAAGAATAGTTATTTCTGTTACCCAGAAAAGACAAGTGGCAGTTTATAAAAAGATACACAATAAAAAGAGAGGTCTGCAATTTCAAAAAAGCTTACACAAAATCTTGGTTGTTTTATTACAGGCAAAAGCTATACAATTCCTAGTATCAGCACTTCAGCATCATCCTTAACTGTAAACATCCATAAAGCTGTCAGCAACATACAACAAATGGCTAACTAATACATCGTATCAGCAAGCAAGTGCTGTATTTTTCTCACAGCTATGTTTGTGAGCTGTGTTAGCACTATGTCAGGGAATCAATAGCTATGATTTCCCTTTGCCAGATGTTATTTGTCCTTTTCCTGTTTAATGTAAGCAGAAATGGGCTTCCTATGAAAAATTCATTAAGAATTCTACAAAAAGCATTAACAGTCCGAATACTGTTTTTAAAAAGCAAAAAGTACACATACAAAATTATACTGAATAAACAACATTGACATAGCTAAGCAATATATGCACTTTCAGTACAACACCAACTAATATAATCATAAGAGATGCATATAAAACAAGGAGTAAGAGATCCTTTCTAAACAATAGAAGAACAGCTTTTAAATTTAGCATGGCACTCTTCTGCACTAGTTGCTTTTCTAACACTGGCAGTGGAATGTCACGTTGAAGGTACTGGATAAACTCCATGCCTGATGTAATGAAGCCAATAGTTAAATTTTCATTGACTTAAAACGAAACATTAGACCAAAGCTAAATGCTTTGAAATTTCTAGGTTATGCAGCACTCTTACAGAACTATGTGCTCAAATGAATATTGAACTTAGAAGGAAAAACTAGAAACAGCTTATCAAGCTGCCTCCTGCATAAGAAGGCCAAAAAGATTATTATTTTAGGCATGCACAGGTGTACAAAGTGCTTTATATTAGTAAGATGATAATATGTTTCCTGGCCCTAAAACTTCAATATTATGTAATCAACCTAGAGTGTAGAAAATTGAAAGCCATCGCACACTAGAAAGAAAAGGCCAGTTAAGAGAGCAATACAATTAGCAGCCATTCACAAAGTGCTACTGCACAGCATTGTGCTTTAAAAATAGTTAAATAAAATATACTCCGATACAAATTCCTGCTGGCAAGCTTCAGAGCTAGTCACTTACGCAGCAGCTTTCATCTGTTAACAAAAAAGTCTATTTTAAAAGGTTAATACGAACATATAGATGAGAAAGTGCATGCATATATCAGATCTCCGATTGCTTTTCTATGAGATCATCTTGTTTAAAAACAGTTACAAAACAGCCTTGCTTTGCAGACACAAAACCGAAAATTGCAGGTGATAAAAGAAAACTATTAAGATAATCTACTATTGTTTTAGTGGTTAATATTTATAAAATTACATTTTGTGGAAAATTCAGAAAATTTGTGGTTTATTTGTGGAAGGAAAAGGGAACAGGAACACCTTCATAAAAACCTGTGGTTCTTTGCTTAGAATGCCAAACTCAACTAGGAAATACTCCAAATTCATACTGGATGCTAACTATGACATTGGAATTTTGATACAAGCAGATATGTATTACATATCGTATGCCCTGCCACCTTCCACGCAACCATTTTAAATGTTCATAGAGAACAGGTTAAAAAAGCTGGTGCTTCATCCATTTTGGTAACTAAGTCCCTTTGAAGGAAAATTAGCAACATCTGAGATGGAGCCTACGCTTCCAGATCTATTGCTTCTCTGACTGGTCTTTACTGCTGTGTTCTGGAGTCCTCCTGAAGGGGAAGGAGATAAATCCTTTCTCAAGCTTTCCAGTGGATGCAAAAAGAGAAAGCTTCTGGAATACAATGTGCAGCATAAGAAGGAAAGACTCAGCACATGAGGGGGATTAAGTGAGGAGGAGAGACTTAAGGGAGAATCCTGGGAAGAGCAGGATGCAGAACATCTTTTCTAGGGAACAGAGGATGGTGTGAAAGTAGGGGATAGGATTGCACCATTTGTTGCAACCAAGGAATCTGAAAAATTTGTTGCAATTAATGTAACTAGAGCAGAGGGCCTGTCCTAGAAGGCTCCTGAAGAAATGGGGGAATGTTCGCCCACTTTGTGTGTCTCCAAAAAAAAGTTATAATTTCAGTCTGAATTCTACAAATCACATTTTTAAAAGCTCTCGTGTTTTGTGGATGCTTATTTTAAGAAGATATACACAGTTCCATTTCTGTTTCCATATGGACAGTTTCATTTTGAAGTAGCATACGGGAAATCTACCATCAATTATTATTTTATATTGTAATACACAACCAAGAGCTCCCTAAGATATGGTGCAGAATTTGGAAATATTAGAGATGTGGTTTTCCTACGTAAATATTGTAATTCTGGAAACGTTCAGCGCAGTCAGACAGGAAAGCCATTCCCTTTCATATAAAGGTCTGAGACAATACCTCCCTTCTCTTTTGTGGTAGAGTGCTAGATCGTAGACCATAGCTAACAAAATCCAGGAAAGTCAGGTTGTACATGCACAAGTTCAATTAAGAGCTTGAAGAAGTTTTAAACCCACCTCAGTTTTCAGAAAAAAAAGATAAAAGATAATATAATGCTTTTGTCTAGGAGACTAGCTTTCATCTTTTTAGGTGTTCCTTCTTAACTGAGAAGCAAATACACAGGGGAAAAAAAAGAGTAATGTAACTTTATGTAAGAATTGAAAAATATCCAGTAATGTCTTTCCGTTCTTGTCCAAAAAAAGACAGTATTTTGGGTTTTTTCTCCAGAAACTTTGCTGCAGTATCAAATAAAACCTGTTTAGAATTGCATGAAAGTCCTCAAACACACCATCTTGCATTTTAACCTTTCTACAACAAAACCAGTGATGTAACAGCTCTCCACATGTATATGAACAGACTGCCAAGTTTGTCAGAAACAAGCTAACTCATCTTATGTACTATTATCACTTAAAAAACCCCCAAAGTGGTACAATACGAACACAGAGAAAACAATCTACTTAATATAACAGAATAGTTTCTGTTCCACCACTCTGACTTAAAATAGCATACTAGATAATTTAAAGAAAGTGCTATGAGTTTTAATCACCTCAAGAATATATAAAAGATCTTACTAGCCCTGAGTTACTGCTCACTGTGGACACAATAGCTGTGGAAAATCTTAATAACGATAAGGGTCTCAATAGTCTCTGCTTACTATATGAAGATAAAAGAGCTAATTTACTACCTCAAACTCTGAAAGGTGGTTAAGTCAACCGCGCATACCTTAGCAACAGCTGTTATCTGCTCCAGTGCTACAGCGTGAAGATCTTGATCTTTGCTTTCTACCAGCAGTTTCAGGGATGGCAGCAGGATGGACTGGTTAAGCAGCAGCAAACATAATTCTTTTATACACTGAAAATAAAAGTAAACTCATTCGGTGAGATCTCTAGAGATACTAACATCATCATCCACACTAAAATTTATGAAAACTCTATGTCAAATGCAAAATGAAAACAAACTGTTAAAACAAATGAACACCCTGTTGGAAATAACTCTTCGGAAACTTGAAAGGACAAATTAAAAAAAAAAGTGGAATACAGGGTTATAAGTGCAATGTTTGTTATATTAAGACAAGGCAGGTTCTGAGTCACCATTACAACCCGGAGTTTTACTCAAAGATCAACAGAGCAATCACAGCTCTCTGTGGACTAATATATTTGTGCTTACTGAAATGCTGCAAAGCACAGGAAGAAACTTAACAGACACCCGTGACACTTCTGTAACTCAATTATTGCAATCATAAAAGTGGAACAAAATAAAGCGGAAATAACAGTACATACCAGAGTTCGACATTATAAAGCTCTGTTGCAAAATCTTTTCAAATTTTATACAAATTTTAATACACAATTAAAGTTTACAAAATTAACTTCTCATTTATCTAATTTCTCATATTTTATAATATAGCACAAATTTAGGGTCATAAATCTTCTGCAAGAAGAGGGTGGCCAGAGAAATATCTTAAAAATAAACAAACAACAAACCTACTGTGCATTTCTAAATCTCCTACGTGTAACTTGTGGTTTTGTTTTTCTTCAACATTGCAGTGATTTATTCATTTATACATCAAAAAGTATTTCAACTAACAAATTACGTTATAAATCAAATTGTAACTTCCCTTTCCCTTTTTGTCATTTCCAAGAATTTTGGTCATTTGCCACAACCACTTCCCAATGAGGCCCGTCAAAGATGTCCCATATTCCAGGACAACTTTCACTAAGTGCTCTGTGTATTGTATGATAGTCACCTTGAAAATGGTATCCAAGTCTTAGAGGTGCTCTCTGTTTCACTCCAACATTTAAAGAGCAATTGTCGAAGGAGCTCATCAGCTAAATATTGAGAGAATGCAAATCATCTATTTTTTACGTCTTTTGAAGTTTAATGACAAGTGTAACAATTTGATGACCAAAATGTAACCGCACTTTTAGCAACACGGTTTTAGTAGCTGTGAACCTAAAAGCCTAAAAACTATTTGAAGATGGACAGATGTTAAATGCTCCAACTGTAACGTACTGCAGAGACACCCGGCCTTGCTTGGCACAGGGACCTCTCTGGCTGCATGTTGCTCAGTCTTTTCTAAATTTATACCTTCAAGAAACACTGCCTAGAAGGATATATTCTATCACACTGAGCTCTGAGTCACTGAGGCAAGGCTTGTTCTCTTGCCCAGACTTGTTCCTCTAAATTTGTATTCTGTACTGCTACTGATGATGTTTTCGGTGAAGGATATGATATAGGATCAAGGAATAAGAAGATTAAATAAAAACGTTAAGCTTTGCCTGATCAGTCGTATGCTTATTAAACTTCTGATAGTTTCATATTCCATTGTATTTCTTTTGAGCAGTATGCCTGCTATACTAGCAAACTTAATGAATGCAAAGTTAGAGATTCACACTACCTGTCTCCTTTTCCTGAAAAGGTGTATCCACGGCAATAAATGCAGCTTATGTTCAGAAAAATAAATTCTGAGAGTCATAAGATACATAACCTGAACAAAACAGCAATTTTACCATGCTTGCTTTTTCTGTCCGAAAGCGTCTCAAAACTAAACGGAGAAGCGTCATAAGAAATAACCCATATTATAAAAAGCCTCTCTAAAAGAACCTCAAATCATATTTTGGGGTTGTGAGAGGAAGAAAAGGAAACTAAGCAAATTGTAAAATGTAACTAGGTACTGCACATTTTTAAAGCAACAGGGCAGGGAGAGAAAAGATGCAGATGTTGAATAAGAGTTTGCTGTCTCAGCCGCTTTAAAATAAAGAAAAACTTTATCTCTCAGCAAGCAAATGTAGTAATACAGATATTAACATCGCTATTTTCAAAGCAATAACATTTAACTCCGATGATATGCCAGCATTTTGTTTTCTTCTTAGATGCTTCACAATTATACTCTAGTACTGGCTACACATTCTAATGGGACATGTTCTAACACAATCTGCTTTGTTCATCACAGAGGCATAAAGGCCTCCACATAAGAAAACACATGCTTAGCTATCCAATCAACTTCTGTTTATCTTACGCTAGCAGATTTTGAAGCCAAATGTCATTAGATTTCAGGTAGGTACCAGTCAGATGACTTGATTAACTTTGTGCCTGATTGTCTAGCAGATATATCCAGTCTTACCTACAAAATCCATCATCTCTCTTGAAGGAGAAGTATACATTCCAACAATTCATTCTACTTACTGTCAAAATATCATGCCTTATGCTAAAAACTGAAATAGTGTAAATTAAACTCAATTGGTTCTTGTTACGCCTTTCTTTGTAAAACAAGAAAGTTTTATTAGCTTCTGTTCCACCTAAAAATATCTGCAGAATAAAATCAATTGCCTCTCGATCGCTGATAAGCTAATACACTGCACTCCTTCAGTCTTCTACTTCAAGGTATTTTCACCATGCACTGATTTTTGCAGGTTGTCTCTTTTGCCTCTCATTTTTCAGCGTCCTCTTAAAATGCAGCTATACTAACAGGGTGTTTTATTTTAATGCCAGTCTCACTAGTGGTTTATGGAGAAGGGTACTTCTTATCCACTCTTCTTCACTTGATATCTTTTATAAAGTAAGACTGCACTGCCTCTGTTTTCCTGGTACACTTATGATACATCATCATGATAAATGACATACTGATATGAAAAAGTCAGTAACAAAAAGCCAAGAAAAGCAAAGTGTTAAATATCTTTTTTGCTTTAATTCTTATTAGATGTCGTCAGTCAAATAAGCAATTAACAGTTGACAATAATAATAGGTGAGACTTCAGCACTGAAAATTCAGTCTCAAATAAAAAAAAAGATGTTTCTGGGGCTGAAAAATTCAGCCCAAAACCACCTAAAGAAATAATAAATCAAGTTAACAAGACATCACCCTTGAGAACATGACAGGTTACAGCAGACTGGAAAAGAGAAATACAGTCTGTCTTTTAGATATGGAAGCAAGCAGGCACGCAAGGGGAAAAGTATTATGGCCCTATCAGACACTCCCAGTCCATGAAAACATACAATGAAAAAATAAACAAAAACATTGTACAGAAATATGTTCCTAAAGGCCCCTGCAACAGGTTCTGTAGTTAAGAATAAGGCCATCACTACAGCATACTTTAAGTTTAGCAACACTGAAAATGTGACACGAAACACTGTCAGAGGCACCAGGGAAATAAGGTGTAGGATAGCGTGGCCCAACTTGCAAACCCTTGGAGTGGCCTCCATCCCTTTTCCCACAGGAAGGAACAGGACAGCTTGCCAAGCAGACTGTCCAAATAGTACAAACACCTCCTCGTACGTCTGCCACAAATGACTGCATGGCTGCTCTGGACAGCAACTGGAAATCCAACCCTAAGCAGCAAGCCACCACCCACAGCACTTCTCAAAGCAACACAAGCGGCTTTCTTTTCTGCAATAAGCACTCGAAAGCATTTGAGCGTCTGCCTGCCCGTGGTGAGAGGCTGCGTTTAGAGGGGGTATGATGTTACCTGTGAGAGGTAATCAAAATCTGGACTTAGCTGAAACTTTTGTAAGATAACTTTTGTCTTCTATCTAGTTATGCAGCTATCAATGGTTCACTGTAACACCAGTGAGGCATATAAAATGGATTTCATAGGAGTCTGTTTTGGGTCCAGTATTATTCAGGATTTTCATGGGTGGCTTGAAGGGCTGGATAATGAGTACAAACAGTATTGTGTCTGGAGAGGCTGAAAGCAGACCAAAGGGCAGCATTTAAATTCAAAATTACCTGAACAAAAAAATCAGAGACAACTGTGAATGAAGAAAAACATACAATGTAAACTTATATATAAAAAATGGGAACAACTAGCTACAGAAATAGAAAAAAGGAGAACAACTGGCTGCTATATTATTCTAGGAGATAAGCATCTTATTGCCACTAGGACCCAGGGTGATTACAGATAAGAGACTAGATGCATTCTCCCATTTAGGTGTTTATGTTAACTGACACAGTGACCCATAGGTTGATAGAAAAACATGAGATATTCAGAGGAGTCACACTTTAACACTTACTGGGGGGAGAAGGATTTGCCCCTTTCTAAAGAGAGTAATCACGCAGTGCAGGGTATGTCAGACAGTCCAAACACATGTGCATTTCAAGCAAATAAAACAATGCTTATTTCAACTAAAAGGAATGGAAAAATCTATCCACTGAATAATGCAAATTAAAAAAACCACACACACACATACACATAATAAAAATTAAAGCTATGCAACTCCCCAAAAGACATTAAAAAAGAACTTGGCTGTAAAAAACTAGAAAGACCGGCAGGAGGTGGAATAAAGGAAGAGAGAAACCTTTCTGATTACATCCAAAGAAACAGTTTTCCTAACTTCTAGACCATCATGACTTGAATTTAAATGGTTTTTTCCATCACAACCTTTGGACTTCAGAATGGCAAATGTTATTCATAGTGATAAATTGATCTCTCAGTTTTTAATTCCATCATTCTAGGTCTGTCTTCTTAATCAGTGTATTTCTTGAAATGTGAAGTCATCTAAACAGGTTAATTGTCAGTTATCAGCTTTTCATCTTATTCAGCCATGAGATCTCAGCTCTCTAATTTGTGCACTTAAGTACCATAGCCGTGCATACAAATAAGTTACTTAAATTTATCCATGTCATTCCCCCTTTTCCCATGTAGAGACTTAATGCAATATAGCCTGTGTTTGTAGGAAACTGTGCAATTACACATTTTAGTGCAACTCCTGTTGCTGTACAGCATTCTAGTCATAAAAAAAGGTATTTTACATTGCCAAAGCTATTTTATGTTTGAGGACCAGAATATCTTCATACCGTATCTGTATATTCACGCCTATTGCTACACAGAGGGCTCTTCCAACATCCTATACCATTAAAAAAGGCAGGCACCTCCAGCCAAAGCTGCCAACCAATACCAAAACTGTGTATAAATAAGGACTTGTTACGGAATTCAAGAAAAAGTTTACTCAATTAAGAGAGTCGAGCAAACCATGACCCATTCTTGAGCAGAACTCTTGGTGAACTGACTGCTGTATGACAGTGACCCTTGGTGGCCTTTGTCTTCCTCGTTCACTGAGGTGAGTTAGAATATTCTACTTTGACAAAGTTTGACTACTCCTGTGCATGAGTAAGATCATGAGTTTACAAGATATGATGTGCCATTCAACGCCTTGCAAAGAAAAGCTACATATACTTACGCCAGTCCCAGGGATAGGGAGACCTGCCTTCCACCAAAATTTGTGGTGGAATGAATGAATGAATAAATGTATTTATCGTATCAGCTTACTGACACCTTCTAGAACCACATTTTACATAGATTTTGAACTTGACTCAAATCAGTCTGACTATTTTAAAAAAAAACACGCTCCACCTGTCTGTATTTTAAACAGAACGTGTTGTTTCTATTCTGCTTCTAGTCTGAACATGAGCTGTTTTCTATAACAGACTGTGATTGCGTGAAGATGATTAAGGGATAAATCAGCCTACTAAAAATATGCACGACTACTCTAAAGTTGTGTGAAGTTTATTAAGCATTTCTCAAATCTGTCTTCATTAGTATACAATGTTTACGTACAAAACACTTCAATAATTTTATACTTGAGATGCTTGCATTGAAGTATGCATACATAGTTAAGTAAGACAGAACACCACAAATATTACAAAGCAATTACTTGTATATTAGTTTTTTTCATCACCAACACATTTTTCAAAGATTCCTCACTAAATCTTTACGCATTTATTAGTGAGAAAATTACTGATTATTTAATTAACAGCTTTTGCCACACTAACGTCAATGACAACGTGCTATTAAAGCCTTTCTATAAATACTTCAAAGAATAATTTACACTAGAACAGACCTCTAAAGATCAGCTAATCCAACTAGTCCCCAGTCAAAGCAAGTCCAACAAGATCAAATTGCCCATGACGTGATTCAATCAAGTTCTGAATACCTCCAATGACAGAGACTCCATGTCTCTTCTAGGCATCCACTTATTCTAATGTTTCACCACTTGAATGGTGAAAACATTTTCCTTGTATGTAATGAGTTTTTGATGATGTAATTTGTCTCTATTGCCTCTTGTCCTATTACTGAGCATCTCTGAGAAGAGGCTGGATCCATCTCCTCTATGTGTTTCCTCATCCGCATATTTAAAGACAGCAATATGATCTCCCTCAGCCATCTCTTCTTAAGACAGAATGAAGTAAATTCTCTCAGCCTCTCTGCATTTATTGTGCTCCAGCCCCCTAATCATCTTGTTAGCTCTCCACAGGACTTGATCGAGTATGGCAACATCTTTTTTGTAGTTGGGACCCCAAAACGAGACTCATATCCATGATACCCAAAGTTAAAACTTACCTCAACAGGGAGCTTGTGCTTTGTCTCATACAAAGAACGGCAGATTTTCAAAATTTCATTTCCTGTGTTCTCCTTTTCCTTGGGTTGGCATCTGCGTAGCATAACAGTCCCCAGTTTCACCCAGGGATTATCATCTCTGCATGATCTGCCCAGAAAAAAAAACAGAGAGGTATATAGAATATAAATATACACCCCCCACCATTTTCTGTAGGCAGGGGGAGGTCAGGGTTTTTTTTTTGTTTGTTTCTTGGGTGGTTTGTTTTTTTTTTTTTGGTGAAGTAAAGTACAACCTCATGAAAGACGGAGGAAAAAGTTTTGAGACAAGCTACTATCCTGATGCCATCATTCTTTCAATGCAACAAAGAAGCTTAAAGTATTCTGAATTATGACACGCTGTTATAATCCCTGAGGAATCACGCACCAGATAAAGACTGATCAAATTGGAATAGCATAGGAACAGCTTCTCCTGGCTTTATACCAGCTAATTTCCCAAGCAGAATGGTATTGAGGGAGGGGTGACAAGAATCCAGCATTCCTAATTTTGTTTGCTTTGATCACATTCGAACAGCATCTGTCTCTCAAGTATCTGTCTCTTGCTTCTGAGTGGAGAAACTATTTCCAAGATTCATATTTTAATTTTCAGGTCCAACAAGTACAAACTAAAATAAACTTTTTTTATAGCCCACCCAAACAGGGTAGGAGAGTGAAAGTACATGCATCTGTACTTGTCTGTTAGTAGATATGGATGCAGATACATTTTTTATGTATTTAAAATGTTCTTTTCATTCCATTCAAAACTTTATGCAGTGTCACCATTACACAGTCAGACTTAAACAGATGGCAGACAGTAGATACAAGTAAATTTTATCACACATGATGGCAAAAGCAATGTTTACTATGAAGTTTTGTTGCTGGAACATTTCTTGGCCTACAGCCGCTATTTGCTAGAGATAATGGAGATGCCTGGCTACTTTTGTTAGAGATAGGTGTACTTGCTAGGACTGGATGTGCGGACAGAAACGGGTAGCAGGCTGGAGCTTTTAAATGATAGCATGAAGGGTAAACACTGGAACACATCCACACTGCCATTTTCCTAATGTGAATTAAGTTAATGTATTTCAATTCTCATCTACAATGGGCTAAAATCATTCACAATCACAGCTTAGATCATGATCATATTAAGCCACAGTAATGTAACCACTATGTTCATCTGTGCATAAACTTAGGAGGGCACAAAAGGTGGTTTAAAAATCACCCCATCAACCTCTTTGGCCATTAATCAGCATCCCAAAGATGTGCAAAACTTTTCATTTTAGCTTGAAGGAAAAAAAGAAAAAAAAAAAATCATAGCAAGACCGAATCTGGCAGGTTGGTCTTACAGTTTAGTGTAAATTAAGATACTCATCCAGCACATGTGGGAAGGAGTAGTAAAGTGCTGTCAAAGCACTGCTTCTCAAAGATATTATTTAGCTATTGTTAAAAGTAACACATTAATATCACTGTAAATGGAGTCCGTTAAGAGAGTCTGTTGGATTGACATATATCAAGGAATAGGTCTGACAACTCTGGAGAGGACAACCGCCAATATCTACTATTTCATATATAAAAGCTCTCTCCTGCTCATCTTCCACTTTCAAAAGTATATACTGTAAACAAATAAAACCAGCTCCACATGAAGCTGACATTATATCCTAACATGAAAACCAGACGGAGATACTAGAAGTGGGTAACTTTGAATGCAAACTAAATAGAAGTCATCATCTTTATTCCTTCTGACAACTTAATTGAGCCTTTCATCAGTCACAGTCACTGAGCACTGAGCTGTGCTCAAACAGAGCTGCCACATGTTTGGCTGGGAACAGCAGAGCTTCTCCTCTCCTCTCTTCTCCTCTCCTTCCAACCTGACAGGTCAAACCCAAAGATGCCAGCTTGTTCAACAAGCAGAACATGATGCACTTAAGCTATGAACCCCCAGTAAGGTTAGGAGAAAACACCCCTGCAACTCCATCTTGGCCACTGGTTAAATTGATAGCTCCTGCTATGTGATCCATCTCTTGCTTAGAGGCACGGAGAGTCATATTGAATTTCCATTTTTATAGCTGCTGCCTCCAGAGTACATTAAGAAAACCTATAAGAATTTCCCATTAGAAAAAGAAAACAAAAATCACACTACAAAACACAGAAGTTGGAAATAATCAGAAAGATGCAAGGCCACAAGGCTTGCCATGTGCAGGTTTGTTTAAAGTAAAGTATCAGATATATACTTTACATATATAAAGCTTTTCTCAACACAATTCCTTATAATTATTTCAAATACTTGTGTGAACTATTAACAACTGTCCATTATCTGCCACTTCTAAATAAAAACAAGATTCAATTAACCAAAAATCTGACACCTACAGGGAGAATTCAGTTTTCTTCTCTCCTGAATTTTACCTTAGTTCAACTATGGTTAAAAAAAAGTTATTTCTCAACGTGAAAAAAGTCATTATTTCAAAAACTCAGCATGAATGCATTATTTTTTTTGCCCAGAACCAAAGGAGGAAAATTTTGGATTAAGTTAAAAAAAGAAAGGTGAACTAAGGTATTGAGTCGCTAAAAGCTGGTCTTTTTGTGTTCCAAAACACCTTATCAATATTTAAAATAAATATTAAAAATGCCTTTTGAATGTAGGCAGCAAGTTCCAAAGGACTGCAGAGCTTCAAGTACTGTCAATCATTTTTTTTAAAAACTTCTTTATGAAGTGCTTAAAATTATATCTGAATATGAGACACCTAGACGGAAAAGCATGCATGCATAACAAGGGTGTGAAAATAGAATTTTAGAAAGTATATGGTTTGTAGTGCTGACTGAAACAACCAAGCTACCTCCTCTGTTTCCTCACAGTCAACATGGCATATTATGATATGAAGAGAATCATATTTGCACATGAATAAATGAGCATTATTCTAACTGGAGTGTTTTAAAATACAAGAACTCAAAAAAACATTAAAAAGCACAGACTTACCATTAACAGAGAGGTCACAAAAATTCTTAATTCTTTAAAAAAAAAAAAAAAAAGGCTACCAAAAAACCCCCAAACTGCAGTTCTTTTACTTCTCCTTCCTTTTGAGCCTTTATAGAATGTAAATTGTATCTTCTAGCTTTATATTCGATTATAAGTATTAGATATTTACTATTAGGCTGAAAACCAAAATTCTAAATATTCAGATGAATCAGACTTAAATTCCCCAGATCCTGCACATACCATTACATTGGCAGTAAACAATCAGTTAGCAACAACGACCCTTTTCTGAAGCAGAGGAGGAAAAAATAAGTGAAGATTAAACAAAAATCTTAATACATACGGCTAAACAATTGGCTTAACTGCTCGCGGTTTTCCTCTTTGCTTAAGAATTTCTTAATACAACTTGCTTTAAAAAGAGATTGTTGCAAACCTCACTAACAAAACAGTTCCTGCTCCTTACTCCAACCCAGCCATCAAGGTAGGTTTTTCAGAAACACGAATTCAGGAACATACATATAAAAAAACCCCTAGGCTGGTAAGCATAATTGAATGCTGTTAACATGGAAGTAGGCAACAGAGGCAGAAAAGGGAAGAATGAGCAATGCAAGAAGATGAGAAGACCCCAGAGCAGAGCACGCTTGCAGTAGCCTTCCCAAAGATGCAGAGATGGGCGTATGATAGCGACCGACCGTCAATGACAACAGGGAGAGAGAGGAGAGAAGGTTCAGATAAAGAAGGCGAAAAGTACCAAAGATTGTTTTGATTGTTGCTGGGCCTCCTACTTCAGCACAGCCTCTGCTTCCTCACTGACATGAGTAATTCCAGGATTTACAAAGTCAAGTAATACAAATTAATAAAATTCAAAATAATAAAAAAGAAATATAAACTATTCCCAGCACACTATAACAAGAGAATTTATCTACTTGACGAGAGCTTATGAAATTAATCCTGTCACATATCAAGGAATTCTAAAGAGAGCTGTACCTTACTTTTTAAAACCAATCATACTTGAGGTGGTGGGATTGAGGGTGGACTGAGGACAGAACTTCATTTCGTGAGTGCTATTATCTGTTAAGACAGATGTTTTTAGTTCACTCTAATTTATTTTAATAACAGCACACTGATTATGAAAGTCAAAATTTGAGAACATTTCTGCACACCAAATATATTATTTCTGTAGACAAAAGTAAGAAATACACATTTTAGTTTTATATAAAATGTGTAATTACATGGTCTAGATTTAAATTTAGGTTAAGTGCTTATAACAAGTACTTAATGCTTGTCCTTTAGACTTGTTAAAAAACAGAACAAAAAACCAAAGCACCCTAAAAAAACCCCCAGAACTCCAAAATATATTTGACTAAGCCAATACAACTAAGTGGAGGAAAAGATAATTTACAAACAGGACTCATAACTATGATCATGCTGTCTATTATTAAAATATCACGTATGTTCTTTGAAAGCACTAGAAATGAGCTACAAAGGACTTTCAAGCCACAATGAGTATTTCTGCTGACACAGGATTTATAAAATAATTATCAGTCTTGCAAGAATTGTTAGTAACGGAAACAAAAGCAATAATAAAAGGAAAGCAATGGGAATATAGACACAGAAAGACCCCAGGGAGCGAAAATGTCCCACTATGATATATTTTTCTATTGGGATAACTCTTAGTAGGGAAGGGAAAAACTGAACAATCATTGACTTACTCAAATAAATAAATAAGTAATAAAAGAAACCAGAGATGCAACATTCCTACTGAGAAAAGAACCAAGAAAAAAGGAGGGAAGAAGGCAGAAGGAGAACTACAACTCTGTCATTTCTTTCAAGATGCAGCCTCAATTGTCTTCTCCCCAGGAAAAACACTGCTAAGGCAGGGAATAGAACAGACTAGATGATTTTTCCCACCCTTCAAGCTAGCAGAGAGAACTGAAGAATGAAACAACAGTGGCAACCATGCCCTGTGCCCACCACTCTTTAAAAAGACAAAAAAACAAACCTAAAAAAAAAATTGTTTCCTATACTATGAACACAATTGCTTGCTCCACTAACTAATTTTTTTTTTTTTTTTTCATTTTTTGGTTGTCTAGAGTTTCAGGCAAACTCAAGAAAACCCGGCAAATCTGAACTGCTTTTTATTTCCCTGGAGATAATGACTGTGAATTTAGTGCGGAGCTTCGGAAAACTATTTGGGAGTCTGCAGTGTAGATCACATTTGGGAATGGTAAGAGTCAGTAGTTCTCCATGAAACCAACGTAAGTGGCTATTACTAGTGAAAGAGAAGGGGGCAATTTTCTCCAAGGCTCTCCAAAGCCTCCTGGCAAAGTTAAAGCAGTGAAGAGAGGCACTGAAGTTTCAGTAATAACAGAAATTATTAAATAAATAATAATTTAAAAAAAATCTAATCACAGGATAAAATTTGTGGTTTGTTCTTAGCATAAAGTCTCAAGACACAGGCTGGTCAGCCTCCCGTCAGTTCCTGGGAAGATGAAGCAAATCCTCCTGGAAACATTTACAAGCAAATGAAGGACAAGAAGTAGACTGAGAATCGTCAGCACGGACTTCAAAAGGGGAAATCATGCCTCACCAACCTGATACCCTTCTACAATGAAATGACTGGCTTGGTGGATGACAGCTGACATTATGTACCTTGAATTCATTCACCAAGGCTTTGGACACTGTCTCCCACAACATCCTCATTGACAAACTGATGAACTATGGGCTAGATAAGTGGAGAATGAGGCGGACTGAAAATTGGTTGAACTGCCAAGCTCAAATGGTTGTGATCAGTAGCACAAAGTCCAGTTGGAGACCAGTGACCACTGGTGGACCCCAGGGGTCTATACTGAAGCCAATACTCTAACATCTTCATTGAGGACCAGGATGAACATCAGACAGAGTGTGCTTTCAGGAAGTTTGCAGATGATACAAAACTGGGAGAGGGTGGCTGATACACCAAATGCTTGTGCTGCCATTCAGTGGTACCTTAAGAGGCTGGAGGAGTGGACAGAGATCAACCACATGACACTCAGCAAAGGGAAATCCAAAGTCCACTCCCTATTTGGGAAGGAATAACCACTTGTACAGGCTGAGAGCCAACCAGCTGGAAAGGAGCTTGGCAGAGAACGACCTGGGGTCCTGATAGACAAGGTGACCATGAGTAAGCAATGTACCCTCGCAGCAAGGAAAGGCAACAGCATCCTGGGTTGCATCAGGAAGAATATTGCCAGCAGGGTGAGGGAGGTGATCCTTCCCCTCTACTCAGCACTGGTGAGACATATGGAGTGCCGAGTCCACTTCTGGGCTCCTCAGTACAAAAATGACATGGGCATACTCACATACAAGTGAGTCTAGGAAAGTGCCACAAAGATGATGAAGGGACTGGAGTATCTGTCCCACAAGCAGAGGCTGAGAGAGATGAAAGAGTTGGGACTAGTTCAGCCTGGAAAAGAGAAGGCTTGGAGGAATTTTATCAATTACATATACCTGATGGGGAAAGTAGAGAAGAGGAAGAGCGACTCTTCTCAGCGATGCCCAATGATAGCACAAGAGGCAATGGGCACAAATAGAAACACAGTACATTTTACTAAAATGTAAGACAAACCTCTTTGTTGTAGTTGTTGTGGAGTCTCCAATCTTGGAGATATTCAAAACTCAAGGCAATGGCCTTGAGCAGCCTGCTCTAGCTGACCCTGCTTTGAGCAGGGGAGGTGGAGTAGACATCTCCAGAGATCCTTTCTGACCTCAACTATTGCTAAATACATGAAAAACCGGGGGACTTCAACTTCCCAGACATCTGCTGGAAATACAACACAGCAGAGAGGAAACAGTCTAGGAGGTTTCTGGAGTGTGTGGAAGATAACTTCCTGAGTTAACTAAGTGAGCCTACCAGGGGAGGTGCCTCGCTCGACCTGCTGTTTACTAACAGAGAAGGACTGGTGGGAGATGTGGTGGTCGGAGGCTGTCTTGGGCTTAGCGACCATGAAATGGTAGAATTCTCGCTTCTTGGTGAAGTAAGGAGGGGGGGGCAGCAAAACCGCAACCATGGACTTCCGGAGGGCGGACTTTGGCCTGTTCAGGACGTTGGTTGAGAGAGTCCCTTGGGAGACGGTCCTGAAGGGCAAAGGGGTCCAGGAAGGCTGGACATTCTTCAAGAAGGAAGTCTTAAAGGCACAGGAGCAGGCAGTCCCTGTACGCCGTAAGAAGAACGGGCGGGGAAGACGACCGGCCTGGCTGAACGGGAAGCTCTTGCTGGGACTCAGGAAAAAAAGGAGAGTTTACCGCTTGTGGAAGAAGGGGCAGGTGACTCAAGAAGA